TAGATAGCAATTCTAAAGACAAATAGAAAGGGAGTTTATGTGACCGTATTAGTTCTTTACGCAGAAGGACGGTCTCATCTGCTTTGTTAAGAAGCCGACTTGCCCTAGCAGAACGAATGAGTGGTTTATGCGATCGTAAACAACTCTAGATGTTTGATAATATTTGAAATTTAGAAACGTAAAAATCTTCTAAAAACATAAATATAAAGACACACAACAGATGAATTAGATACACTCTCCCCAACAATCATTGTTTCAAGCAAAAATACTCATAAATAAAAAACAAATTTTTGAATGAATAGTATACAAGTATTTGCCAAAATCGTGTACGCCATCTTTAATTTTGGACTTCCGAGACTCCGATTTCTTTATACCGTTTTCCTAGTAAAGGCACACAATTCTTAGTCAAAATAACCAATTATTAAACAATTTAAAGCAATTTTCTTAGGGTTGTCTTACGGATTTACTCGACTATATTCAAATCTTTGGATTATGTTTCAATTGTTTACTTATTAGTTCAGTATATTTTGAAAACACAGAAATTGATGTTGCTGACAAATGCTGTGAATACAATTCAGTGACACAAGAACAAAAAATCTATGTAAATAATACCCCCACCGCAGCAAGCCTGCAGTCTAAGCGAATTTCCATTTACCCGGTTCGTTCGACTTTTACTAAAATATTCCCACAAAATTGTCAGATTTATTTCCTATTTCTAAATAACATTAATTTTAGTGAGTACTTAGGTTTGCTGCTACGGGAAAGATATTGAGGTGTGATTTTTATTGAAATGTTGATAACTATGTTGATAGCTTAGTATGAAATAAACAAAATTGCCAAATTTGATTAAAATATATCCATAAACAACCAAACTACAACAGTTTATTTATCCTCCATAAGAATAACATGGGAATGTTAAATTTACAATTTTTAAAATTATCTCCAAACCGTTGGGCATACAACAACTCTTCAATATACGAGTACAAAATTATTTATTTTTAAGCTCTACAATATGGTTTGGATAGAAATAAAAAAAAATTGTGTTTTGGGGTCAAAAATAGGAAAAATCAATTTTCACCCCATAAAACTGGTTAGCAAACTCGTTCGAATAAACGTAGGTTTACACGTTTGTGCCAAAATGTCATAAAAATTGGATCATTTTTGCTCTAGTTATCCTCAAAACGATAACGTAAATCGGTTCCAGGTCTAGTCTTACCATGTGTTACATGTGTCTTACCATGAGACCTACGGTGAATTTTTGCTTAGTCCCTATATGGGAAATTCGCTAAAATTAGAGTTTTGTCTGTACACTGTTTAGAATCATAAATGTTTCGGTTAGTTTCATCGTATGGAACGAGTTTTAAGATAGGAAAGCCAAAACGCGTGCTATCTCAATTTCTGTATAAAAAGGTTTGTACATAAAAAGGTTTAGGTATAAGGTTATAAAAAGTACAAACAAAGAAACAGCCAAAGAAACAGCCAAGAATAAATTATTCACAAACACAATTATTATTGTAGCGTATTACAATGTAAATTATCACTGTTTTACAGGGTTTTGCCCGTGGTCTGTGTGTACTGTTATCCAAGTGACAACCGGTCTATGTGTAAGATTCAAAAATGTATACATACTTCGGTCTGTCGACATTTTAGATGAGTACGGTAACGCCAAATCCTGAACATATAAATCAACAAATCCTAAATTAACGCATAGACCTATTCACGTCTTAAATTTAAATTGAAGATTCCACAGCATTTTAGAGTTTAAAGATTTGTCTAACCCTTCCAAAATGTTAACATTAAAAATTTGGACGTCCACGGGGAGTAACCAGAGGTGACTAGGCCTACGTGTTAGGTACTGTAATTGGGTTATTAGAAATTATAGATAAAACATAGTCTCTTAGCTATTAACCTACAAAATCAGAGCTATATTGCTTCGGTAGTTTAGGTGTGGTTGAAATAACTGGGCGCTGGGAGGCAAAACGCGATAATTCCTCGGACGAATCGGTAACGGGGATATTCCCCGCGAGCCGGGTAGATGCAGGGAGACGTCCGCTCAATTACCCACCCCAACCAGTTTTGTCCGCCTCACGCACTGTCCGCCTCAAGCACGTCCGGGGGAAACACGGCACCAGCCTGAAATCGTTCAAGAATTTCGATGTTGGATTTGCTCGAGGTCCCCCAAAGTTGAATTCCGTATGTCCAAATTGGTTTGATTATAACTTTATACAGTAAAATTTTGTTAGCCAATGATAATTTTGAATTCGTACCTATAGTAGCCAATTGTGTTTACGAAGTTTTAATTCCATTTGCTGTCTCTAGCACCAGATATGAGATTTCCAATTTAATTTTTTGTCAAGATAGACCTATAGTTATTTGTGCAACTAGTGAGAAAAGTGAGCAATTGACTCACTCGAGAGAAATCCTTACTCACGAGCCGTAGGCGAGTGAGGAATGGTTTCTCGAGTGAGGCAATTGTACTTTGAACTCGAGTTGCACATTATACTTTTCCTATAGTTACCATAAAACAAATAAATTTGTGAAGAAAGATAACCTATTTTTACATAGAAGTGAACTTTTAATATAATATTTAATGTGACGTGACAAATACAACAGTACAACAGCTGACCAGCTGATTTACAGCCAGTGCTGCCAACGTATTTCGCGCGCATACGACGTTGCCTGCATGTTACGCGCTCACTATTTCGTGCCTTCACGTTGCAAATCTGGAGTGAGACAAAGTAATTAGAGTGAGACAATGTTAACATTGTCTCACTGATGAGCGAATTGGCCACTTTGCTTTCTCAAATAAATGAGAGAACATATACATTGTTAGGTAACTGTAGGAAAAATATTTTACACTGTCTGCCTCCGTTAAGGCAAGGGAGTATGTTTTATCTATGGTTAAGGCTACATTATTAATGGTTACTGGAGGGTACCCTGTTCTCAGAGTAAAAACAATATGTTTGGACTTGTTTTCGTTGACTTTTATCCTCCACTTTTTAAGCCAATATTGGAGCTCAGTCAAGGCAGCTTGTAGATTTATGTAAGCGACTTGAGGGTCCACATGACTCGACAACAGTGCGGTGTCATCAGCAAACGTAGCAACTGTGACGTTGGGGACCATATAGGGATGTCTGCTGTATATCAAATATAGCAAGGGACCAAGAACACTCCCCTGAGGTACTCCAGACTGTATCGGCTTCAGATCAGATAACGAATTATCAAATTTTATTTGAAAATATCGGTTGGTCAGATATGATTTCAGAAGGTTATACAAAGAGTGAGGAAGAGAGGTTTTGAGTTTAAACAGAAGTCCGACATGCCACACCTTGTCAAACGCCTGTAAATGCATAATACAGACTACCACTACAAATCTAATTTTAATTATTATAAAGTTGTAGGTTATTTCAATATGATTATGTAACAGATTCTTATTCAGTTATGCCAGTTATTCAGTTCTTATTAACAGTTGTGCCGATATCAGCAGCACTGCGCAGCAATTATAACGCAACCTATCGGACGAACCCCAAGGCGTTTGGTACGTGTTTTTCATTTTAAACCAAATGTATTCGTAATAATATATTTTTTTCTTATAAGAAAATGTATCTAGTTAATATTTAGCCGAGTAATTAAGTAATTGCACTATTATTTATCAACAATCCATACGATTTTCGAAAAAAATAGCTGTACGATGTAGATTTTGTTAAAATTATTAACTGTTTTATTAGTTAAGATACAACTTTTTACCCAATGACCTTTTCTATTGGTAATATTTTTTGAATTAAAACTACGTTTTAACCGATGTCCTATCTCGTACCGTTCTCGAGCTACAGTCGTTTCGATGCATAGCGCGTTCCTCCATTTTTGCCCCCCTCCCCCCAAGTTCTCGACCACCTGAAAAGTAGGCGACATGCGTATATTTTATCACCACAGTCCATATTACAACTATCAGCAAAGATATTTGGTATTACTTCTTTGCGACACTCACAAATTAATTCTACTTTCGGTAAAAAAACTACACGAAAAGTCCATTTTTACTTATTTTATTCAATAACTTGTTTATTTATAGAGATACGACCTCGGACCCAATAACCATTATTGTTGTCCACATTTTTAGAATTCCAACGACGTTTTAACCGATGTTCTATCTTTTATCGTTTTCGAACTATCAGCGTTTTAACGCATAGCGCAAACCGCCATGTTTGCCCCCTCCCCCCCACCTTACCGACCACTTCTGAAATAGGCGACATACGTAATTTTGATCACCACAGTCACAGTCCGTATTACAATAATCAGCAATAACATTGCGTACTACTTTCATGCATGCTCAAACCCCCTCAGCTCCTGGACTATTTAATGATACTGTAATAATTTATGAACCAATCTTTATGACGCAACGTCATCCTATTGTTTTGGGGCTCGTCGACCGCGAGCAGTGGCCCGGCAGGTGGCTGTTGCCAACCTCCCAACAAAAATGCGACGGCCAGCGTTGGTCTCGGCTAAGCTTGATCTCGGCTAACGCTCTATGTCGTGAACCCATTTTAGACCGTCGGTTAAAATTGGTCGAGATCAACGATAACGTCGATAACCATGGGCCACGAAACCCCGTACTCGTGAACCGCCTCTACAAGTTGTAAAACTTAATATGTTTCATACATTATAACATTTTAGAGAAATTGTGGAATAGCTTATAACTTTTCGTGAAACTGTGGCATAGCTTATAACTGATTATAAGCTATGCCACATTTTCAAGATTATAAGCTGTGGAACAAATTCCATTATTCCGTTTATAAGCTATGCCATACCATCAAGATATGAGACCCCACGCTTTCATTGACCTATTCTTTGTTCTGTTGTCCGTTGCCATTCTAACATTTCTGCAATTCAGTCGTCTAGGCTAGCCATATGGTTTTGTAAAAAAGTAAGCTATCATATGTTTTCTTTTTTCTTAGTTTCTGCTGTAATTCGCAGAGATTCGCTGCTGGTGGTGCTGTGCTGCGTGCTGTCGACCTTTTACCCCTGGACTTCTGGGTTCAGTCGTATTGATAGATTGAGATAAAACATTGTTCAACTTTGTTTTAGTTTAGAGGTGGATTTAGTATATTTAATTCTGTCGAAATGGCTTCAGTACGAGTATTTTCGAGATTTGCTGGTAATAGTCCTCAGTTAATGGAAGATTAATAGTAAAACATAGTAGGCCTAGGCCTAGTTTACCTTTACCGTGTAGGCCTAGTTAAATTTAGCTTAGGACTAGAAGCCTAGGCCTACCTTTGGCATTAAAGACTTAGCCAAGTGAAGGCCTAAAGTTAGGTGCTAACGTAATACTAACTTATGTAATCTTAAGTTTAAATTTGCAGAATTTAGCCTATCCATAAACTCACTTAAACTAAGTTTTTCAGTTAGGCTAGGGTAACCTATAGTCTCATAACTGGGCGGGGTACAGTTTCTTAACTGGGCTATGCTAATATCGATTGAAACTATCGAATTGAAAATATTGATTAATAAACAATATTTTTAAATATAGCCTATTTATTATCAAATTAAACTATCTTAACCTAACCTAACCAACCAAACTTGCTGATGGTGGAAAAATCGCATGAAGGTTTACTAATCAAATCGATAGTTTCAATCGATATTAGCATAGCCCAGTTAAGAAACTGTACCCACTGGGCGGGGTGGCGGAATTGTACCCCCCTGGAATTGTACCCCCACCATTTGACTCAGACCTCTTCATGCACTGAAATCATAATGGGCAAATATTTGAAATATCAACAACGCGATATTATGTACTTTTTTGATGTCTACTTACAGTATTTTTCACGCTGAATCCAAAAATGCAATCAGTTTTTGTCGGAGAGATTCCTAAATGATCGTAAAACGAAGGTCAACATTACGAGTCTAAGGTTAATTGAGGTATACTGATGGCAATATGGCGTGGTCTGGACGGGTCCGTCTGTGGACTGAGTACTGAACTGACTGAGTGAGGAGGAGAGCAAACAGCTGTTTGTATTCGACTTAATGTGGAATGAAATCAATTCGTTTTGAAACCAGAGAGAATCAGTTCTTATTTAGGCATGTGAGCATTTTTGATATCTTCCTCACATGCCTTTTCGGACATAAAATTCGATTTAAACATTACTATTAAGGTTTGGTTGGGTTAGGTTAGGTTAGATTAGATTAGATTATGTAACATCTTATCAATTGCTGATACATCAAATTATGCACTGTGGCACGTTTTCACTTTTAGACACAATGGGATTATGTACTATGGGATTATGAACTATGGCACGTTCATTAACAGACGTTGAGGCATTAGTCAATGGTTCAGGATTGGAACGAGGACGATGATCATGTCGGCAGTGGCCTTGCTTCTATTATTACTGTTATTTTACATGAATAAATTCTATTTTGTTCTATAATTTATGTTGATGTGATTAATAGTTTATGTATCGTAGTTGATCTATTGTATTTTCTAAACAGCACCAAAGTCCATTTTCTTTTAAAAATCTAGTTATATTGCATATTGTAACTCTGATTTTGCTCTCATGGCGTCTCGTGTGTGGTTTTGTCTGTTATTATCGAATGTAAACAACTGACAGCTGTTTCCACTCCACAATCCTTCCTCCCCTTTAAGTGTTAGTCGCCACTAGAACTTGGACTCGTCCATACCACAAGTATGTGAATATTACAACAAAACTGAAGCTTAATATTAATTACTTAACTGTACGGTCATTTTAGGAATCTCTCCGACAAAAACTGATTGCATTTTTGGATTCAGCGTGAAAAATACTGTAAGTAGACATCAAAAAAGTACATAATATCGCGTTGTAGACATACCAAATAATTACCTCATAATGGACTTGATTGTAAAACCTTTATAATATGTGATTTTAAATTCAAACTGAAAACGAACTCAACTAGGCCTAAAAATCAAATAAGTTAAATCCAATGTAGGCCTATGTGGGCTATCAAATTAAAAGCTTTATTCCTTTAATCAAAAAATAGTTTAATCACCATTGTTGCCCTAGTTTGGAATATTATGTTTAGGAGCTTCTCTATTGTGATTACCACGTAAAATCAAAACAATAAGTTAGGTCCTATTTAGGTTAGAAATTAAAGGTGAATCACACTCGTGTGATTTTATCTTATCACATTGCTAAGTTACATCTGATTTCCAAAGCCAATATAAGTTAGGTTAAACTCGTTTATATTTTAGCATTAACTGAAGAGAGAATTTGGATGGAATAAGTTAGTGTTATGTAGGCTATAGGCTTCAAAATCGATCCAACACATGTCACTTTAGATGGCAATCACTACTAGGCCTAAGTTACTGTATATTTCAATGATACCACATTAGTTAAGTTTATTGAAAGACATTTGAAGATGTTACTTATAGGGGGGTACAATTCCAGCCCGTACACTAGCCAAGCTACCTGTCCAAGAGTGGGGTACAATTCCGGGGGTCACAATTCCACCCCGTACACATTTGGTTATCTGATGGGGTTACAATTCCAGGGGGTACAATTCCACCTCGTACATAAATAATTTGATGTTGCAGGGGGTACAATCCCGGGGGTAACTTACAATTCCAGGGCCCTGTTTCATAAAAATACTAGTCTAGTAATTACTAGTCTAGTAAATACTAGTCCCGTATTTACCTGTCCTACTAATTTGTGTTTCATAAACGTTTTTATACCGCTAGTAAATACTAGTGTATTTTACTAGTCACGTGACCAAAAATACTAGTCACGTGACCAACTTTACAAGGTAAACTTTAAAAACAAATTTCTAACCTCAATCACGGGTTTTCTAGCGCTTTATAAAGGGTTTAAATTTTGTTTTCATTTGATACAAAAAGTAAATAGTTGTAGAAACGCAGTGTTTTCTTTGAATTAATAACTATATAGACACATAAGTAAAACAATCACATATTATTTATCAAAACGCTATTACTTATGTTCATCAATGACCCCGCCGACGCGCCGGCGCGGCGCGGCGTCGCGTCGCTGCAATCAACACGGTGATTGTGGTAGCCGGTTGTAGGCCTAGTTGCGCCGCTCAACAGTTGGGTGGAAATTGATCTGTTGCTGCCGCATTCGCTGTGATTTGTTTAGTTTTTGTTTTATTCTGACATATAAAATTAAGCTTGCTATGAGTAAAGAAAAGAAGGCTCAAATTTTGAATTTAATTAAATCGTCTAAGGACATTTTGTTAGGAACGTTTTCAAGTACCCTAACCTATGTTTTAAAATATTCGAATGAATGATAAAGCTTCATAAATTATATTTATTTATTGGTACTGAACACTGGTTTTTAATAGAACTCACCATAAAAACTCCAAAACTAACATAAACACAACAAACAATAATAATAATAAATATTACATCATCTGATTTAAGACAGAATAAATGTCACATGTCACATGTCCTTTTTTTTCAATTTCAATCTTTTTTCTTTTCCATAAATTGTCTCAGTTGGCACCGGTTTCTTCTGAAAACTGCTCCGCTGTCCATTTGTACAAAATAGGAATTCGGGCTTTTGTGTTTCTTGACAACTTTTCCTTTTGCCCATTCTCGAGTTCCCTTTTGGACATAAACTTCTTCGCCCTCCTTTAATTCTGGAAGTAGATGAGCCGATCTGTCATAATATGTTTTTTGTTTTTCTTGGGCTTGCTTCAAATTTAGAACTGTTTCATTGGTAGGGAAGAGTGGTTTCATGGAATCTTTAGTAGCAGGAAGAACAGTCTTTAGTAGTCTTCCCATTAGCATTTGAGCAGGTGCTCTGAGATTAGCTTTAGGAGTATTATTGTAATCGATTATGGCCAGGTTTGGATCTCCCTTGGTCTTTAGCGTTTTAGACAGCATTGACTTTAAAGTTTGTATAGCCCTCTCCACCATCCCGTTAGATTTTGGGTAGTACGGAGACGAAGTTATATGCTCAATTTTATACCTTTCTGTGAACGTGGAAAACTTGTGGCTATCGAACGGAGGGCCATTATCGGAGTGTAATTTCTTAGGCAGGCCATGAGATCTAAATATCTGTGTCAATCCTGCAGTTACTGAATCAGCTGTTGTTGTACTCATCTTCTTTACTTCCACAAATTTGGAATGATAGTCAATCACTAGCATGTGATTGGTATTGTTAATTTTGAAGAAATCAACTCCAATTTCTTCCCATGGGATTTCTGGCACTGGATATGGTTTAAGAGGTTCTTTTGGGTTTGATCTTTGGTATTCCTGGCATGTTGTACATTGGTCTACTGTGTTTTTTATGTCTCTCATCATTCCTGGCCAGTACCAAGCCATCTGTGCTCTGTTTTGGCACGAATTAATTCCTTGGTGTGAAGCGTGTAGTTGCCTCAGCATGTCGGGTCGCAGCTCACTCGGAATAACAAGTCGGTCTTCCATATATATCAGATCATCGTATAAATGTAATTGATACCTTTTTTCCCAAAAAGGGTGAGCTTTGTCATCACAATTTTGTTTGTGTTCAGGCCATCCATGTTCTATGTAAAAACGTACTTGCTTTAGTGCGGCATCCCTTTCTGTAGCATATTTATGTCTATTTACTACATCGTCATTAGCAAAAACTGCCAGGGAGTAAACTACCTCAGCTCCGTTGTCCAGATAACTTGTGTTTAAATGTTCATCTATTGGAGCTCTCGACAGGGAGTCTGCAATGAACATTTTTTTTCCCGGTACGTGAACTAATTTAAAATTGTATCTCATCAGTTCCATCATCATTCTCTGAAGCCGTGGTGATAGACTTGCTATAGGTTTGTTTAAAAGACCAAGTAGAGGTTTGTGATCTGTCTCTATTGTGAAGTCTGTTCCATATAGGTAATAGTGGAACTTTTTACAACCATTTACTACTGCCAGAAGCTCTTTTTCAATCTGGCTGTACCTTTGCTGAGTTGCTGTTAAAGCTGAAGAGCTGTAGCCGATAGGATGGTCATTTTGAAAAACAACGGCCCCGAGGCCAAATTTGCTAGCATCTACAGACAAAGTAGACTTCTTTCTTCCATCAAAATAGGCCAAAACAGGAACCTTTGTTATCTCCTCCTTTAATGCTTCAAAACATTTTTGTTCTATACTTGTCCATATAAAAGACTTGTTTTTGCTCATCAGTAATCGTAGTGGTCCTGTTTTATCAG